CCTCTCTCCCTGCCTCTCCCTCTCTCCCTGCCTCTCCCCTATTCCCTTCCTTTCCTCCCCTCCCTCTGCACTTCTGTAACTCTGCCTTTCAAAATAAATAAATACATAAATCTTTTTTAAAATTTCTTTATTTGACAGAGTTAGACAGTGAGAGAGAGACAGAAAGGTCTTCCTTCCGTTGGTTCACTCCCCAAATGGCCCCTGTGGCCGGAGCGATGCCGATCCAAAGCCGGGAGCCAGGTGCTTCCTCCTGGTCTCCCATGTGGGTGCAGGGGCCCAAGCACTTGGGCCATCCTCCACTGCCTTCCCGGGCCACAGCAGAGAGCTGGACTGGAAGAGGAGTAACTGGGACTAGAACCTGGCGCCCATATGGGATGCCAGTGCCGCAGGCGGAGGATTAACCAAGTGAGCCACGGCACCAGCCCCAATAAGTAAATCTTAAAAAAAAAAAAATGCATCCTCGGAAGTAGGCACTTGGGTTAGCAGTTATGATGCCCATGTGCCACCTGGGAGTACCTGGGCTTGATTGCCATCTCCTGACTCCAGCTTACTGCCAGTGCAGTACCTGGAAGGCAGCAGGTGATGGCTCCAGTGATCCGTCCTTTCCAAAGGCCCCAGCTGTTGCAGGCCTTTGGAAAGCGAACCAGCAGATGGGGGTTCTCTTGCAGGTTCTTAAAAAAATATTACGTGTGTGTGTGTGTGTGTACCCATACACACACATCCTTAAATTAGCAATCTATTTGGAATCAGTGTGTTACTTTGTCATCCTTGTATATCCTACTTCATAGCTGACAATTTCTTCCCACTATATAATGTAATTACATAACAGTATAATTTCATTTATTCATCCCCCATCCTCTGTACTATTTTTGTCATATTTTACTTATAGATGGTAAATCTGACCTCACAATATTCATTTTTTTAAAGATTTATTTATTTGAGTGAGAAGCAGAGTTTCAGATTTACAGAGACAGAAAAATCTTCCATCTACTTGTTCACTCTCCAAATGGCCACAACAGCCAGAGTTGAGCTGATGAGGAGCTAGGAGCTCTGGGTCTCCCATGTGGGTGTAGGCGCCCAAGCACTTGGGCCATCTTCCACGGCTTTCCCAGATCAGAAGAGGAGCCGCCAGGACTTGAACTGGTGCCCATGTGGGATGCAGTGACACAGGCGGGGGCTTAGTCCCCTATGCCACAGCGCCAGCCCAAATACTGTCATTCTTGATTGAGGCAGTGTTTTTAAGGAAATGATAAGAAGAAAAAATGTGTCATCTTTTTACTTTTGCCCTCTCACTTCTCCTTTCCAGTTCTCTTATCACCTTCCTACAGATCTGAGTTTCATCTTTTCCCTTCAGCCTATGGAGCATTCCTAGCATTCCTCTTATTTCTGGTCTGGTGGTGACAGCCTGTTAGATTTTATCTGAAAGTATCTTTATTTCACCTCTATTTTTAAAGAATATGTCACTTGATGTAGAATTAGGAGTTGACAGTTTTCCTCCAGCTTTTTGAAGATGTCATTCTGTTGTCTCCTGATTCCGGCTGGTTCTCAGCTGAATTTGATGAGAAGTCAAGGAGTTTGTTGGTGGTTCTCATGTGTATTTACAATGTCTGAATCCTCTGGCTGCTGTCAACATTTCTTTTTTTTTTTTTTAATTTTTAATTTTTTTGACAGGCAGAGTTAGACAGTGAGAGAGAAAGAGACAGAAAGGTCTTCCTTTGCTGTTGGTTCACCCCCAAAATGGTCACTACGGCCGGCGCGCTGTGCCAATCCGAAGCCAGGAGCCAGGTGCTTCCTCCTGGTCTCCCATGCAGGTGCAGGGCCCAAGCACTTGGGCCATCCTCCACTGCCTTCCTGGGCCACAGCAGAGAGCTAGACTGGAAAAGGAGCAACCAGGACAGAACTGGTGCCCCAACCGGGACTAGAACCCGGAGTGCCGGCGCCGGAGGCAGAGGATTAGCCTAGTGAGCCGTGGCGCCGGCGGTTTTGAACATTTCAATCATGGTATACCTGGATAGATCATCATATTATTTATCTTGCTTGAGGTTTGCTGAGATGCTCAGATCTGTAAGTCAGGAAATTATCAGCCATTATTTCTTCAAATGTAGTTTTTCTACCCCATTCTCGCTGTCTTCTTTTTGAACTTCAATGTATTTTAGGTCATTGAGTATTTGTATTCAGGTCTCTGAGACTCTGATCATATTTTTTGGAATCTCTTTTCTCTCTGATCTGCAAATTAGATAAACTTTTTGGTATTTTCAAGTTTACTGGCCATTATTTTGCCCTTTATAATCTGCAAATAAGCCCATATGTCATGGGCAGAATTGTGCTCCTTCCCCCAAAATATATATCCACATCTTTTTTTTTTCTGTTTTCCTTAAAATTTATTTATTTATTGGAAAGAGTTACAAAGAGAGGAGGAGAGTCAGATCTTCTATCCAGTCGTTCGGCACTTACGGCTAGGCAAGGAGCCAGCTTTATCTGGATCTCCCATGTGGGTGGCAGGGGCCCAAGAACTTAGACCATCTTCTGCTGCTTTCCCAGGCCATTAGCAGGGAGCTGGATCAGAAGTGGAGCAGCCAGGGCTTGAACAGACACCCATGTGGGATGCCAGCACCACAGGCAGAGGCTTAACATACTATACCACAGTGCCAGCCCCTCAAATTTTAAAACATTTTTTAAGTGTAGGTCATAAAAAGAGAAAGCACTTGGCAAAGATTTGATCTCGCCATGGATGGGCTTATACAATAAAATGTAAATGTGATTAGACTGTAGACAGTAAGATAAAAGGCGCTCTTACAAAAATCAGCAAATGAAGCATATTTTAAGTTTTAATGTAAAGGTTGAAGATTCACATTATGAAAATTAAAAATCTATTCAAACCCCTCTGTGACAGGAGTCTCCTGTCACCATTTCCCAAGCCTGCCCTCCCCCTCCCATCCATTGATGATTCCCCTCCCACCAGCAGCAGTCTCCCCCTGTACAGGCAGATGGCTGTCATGAAACCCACTCAATGGATCCTTTGGCTACAGCAACACAAAGACAACGCCTGACCTTTCTTTCCCGCCCAGGTCCAGTAGGCCACTGGCTGTCCATCCTTCTGAGTACAGACTGGTGCTTTACATGATGTGGTGTGTGTGGGCAGGAGGAAAGCACACGGCATGTGTGTCTTGGGAGTCATTCTAGATTACTAAGCACATTCTCCAGTAATTCTTTCAAAGGGGATACACAAGAAACAAATGTCCTGAATTCTTCAATATCGAAAAACACCTTTGTTTTACCCTCAAAATCAGATGCTAATTTGGCTGGATACAAGATTCTCGGCTTAATGCCTTTTTCCTGCAGAACTTTGATGATATTGGCCCACTTACTCCTAGCATCCAGGGTGCCCAATGATAAGTCTGCAGTCAACCTGATTCTAGTTCCTCTGTAGGTTATTTCTTTCCTTTCTCTGGAAACCTTTATGATTTTCTCTTTATCACTGGAATTGCAAATTTTCACCAAGATGTGTCAGGAGTGATTCTGTTTTCATCAATCTTACTGGGTATTCGGTGTGCACTGACCATCTCAAGACTTGAATCTTTCTTCAGCTCTGGAAAGTTTTCTTCAACTATTTCTCTTATTAGGTCCTCTGCACTGTTCTCTTTATTTTCTTTTTCTGGAATACCTATCAAACAGATATTGGCACTTCTGGATCTATCCACATCTTAACTCCAGGTTCTCCTCTGTTGTGAGTGGCCATAAATGTCATCAGAGGTATCCTTATAAGAGAGGCAGAGGAGATCAGACAGAACAGTGGATGTGAAGGGGGCAGGGATTGGAGTGGCCATGGGTGAAGCTGGAAGAGGTGAGGAGTGAGTATTCCCATACGTCTCCAGAGG